TGCATCAGTCAGCCCACTCGGGGGGCCCAAGGGAGATTTCGCGGGTGAGGGCCCAAGGATAAAGAACACATGTATGCAAGACACCAGCAACAGCAGCAGGCAGCGCAGAGCAGAGCAGAGGGCAGCAGAGATGTCTGTGCCTTTATTGTATAATTCTTACACAGGTTGTTATCTCTTATTTACACCCTTAAATAGTGCCATAACCAGCACATGTGTGTTTACCAGTTCTGAGTCGTGGTTACAGGGCTGTATCCCACTGTACGCCTGCGCTAGATGTGCAGGGTCATGCTTCAGGTGTCCTTAGATGCCCCCAGCTGTAAACCACTCTGAATGATTCCTCAGAGCACCCTTAGGCACGACTGGGTCATCTAATCACACAAAAACAGTCCACTCCTAGAACCAGGCTTCCTAACGTCAAGGGACAATTCACCAAAAGGCTCAGATGAGCCAAGGAAGAGCCAGCTCACCCAGCGTGGCCCCATCCTCCTGGCTTCTGCAGGGACCGCACGCTTTCTGGATCAGGTCCCTAGAGAGCTTCTGCGGGGTCCACAGAGCCGGAAGGATCTAAGCGACAGGCTGCCTCCTTCCCATCACACAGAGCCACAGTTTCCATGGATCCATCAGTCCTGAACTCCCCGTGGGGACCATGCTACAAGACTTGAGTCATGTTCTAGAACTAATCACCTCATCGGCGACATCCAGCTACAGGGTCTCAAGCATGAGCCTCTGTTGTGACCACTCGGTCAGTCTGTCTCCTCGACGTCCAGGAGACAAGGAGCTAGAACCACGCTCCTGGTCTGCCTCTCCTGGCCTCTGGAGCAGTCCCCCGCAGATGCCTTCCCTCTGCTACTTCAGCACTTCCTCCAGGATCTAAGTTCTGCGCAGAGGTGATGCTGATGCAAAAGAGGGCAGCCCTGGCACTCGGAGGCTGCTGGGTCCTAGTGTACCTCAGTTTGTCCTAAACAATGCCACAGAGCATGTACATCATATAAAGCCTCTAATGGCCACGGTAGACTGTGAGGGGAACGCAGAGGAGAACGATATCCCAATCACAGACATGTGCGTGCGCATGTGCACATGGAGGCACGCGAGTGCGCACACACACACACGATCAAAACTACCAATCTATATTGAAGGTTCGGCCTTCACTCCCTCAGGCTGGCAGACAGGATTATTAAGATTCCAGGTCATAGAACTACCCACGCCCCCTCTGCTCCCAGGCTGCAGTCAGGCAAAGCCAGCCTCCTTGAACCTTCCCCAGGCTCCTACACAAGTCCAGTGTGCTCTTCTGTACCACCTGCCCCCATCATAAGTGTCCTGCACTACAAGGGGCCACCAGCCTCCTTTGCTCAGCCTCAGTGTGTTCCCAGGGGTCTTGGCTGGGGGCATGGGCAGCAATGAGCTGTCCCAGGTGGGATGTTAAAGAAACAAAAGCTGGCTTGGCTCCCTTGCCCTGTTATTAAAAAGCACTACCAGTGAGTTGTAGAAGGCTGTCTGATGCAGGTGGTCCTGCAGGCCCTGTGGAGCGCAGCCAGGTACCCAGCGATGCACCAACCCTGCTCCCACCCCAACCTGGGGATCCCTGCTGTCTCTGTCTTCCTCCAAGTCTCCCCACCCTTCCTGCATCTTTGAATCTCCCATGGGAGGCTGACACTGCTACCTAGAGAGGAGGTAGCTGTGGAGGAGGGAGGTCAGGGCACAAGCACTGGGCAGCTTTCACCATGTGCCCGACGCTAGCTGGGTGAACGTCCTCCCCAAGGCGGCTTAGGGCCTCTCCCGGAGCCACGCAGTTGCTGCTCAGCAGAGCTGCCTCCCAGCCCCAGCTCTGCTCTTCCTGCTAAACAGTGCTGCCTTCCCCGGGAAATGTAAATCATGGACCAAAGTGGCTGCAAAGGAAATGAAAATCCAGAGGTGGAGGAAAGTGACCAGGACCTGACTCCACAGGACAGGCCCAAGATCTGAGCAGGGCCCAGTTATTCCCTGGCACTGGCGGAAAGTGAACGGGGCAGAACAGGTTGAAATCTTACAGAGATTGAAAAATAAATAAATAAATAAATAAATAAATAAATAAAGGTGCTATACAGTACGCCCCTATGACTGAGAGCACTGAGCTGTGAACTTCCATAGGCACGGTGTGTGAAACTCACTTTCCATTTAGGAACGAATCCAATTTAGGAGCAATTCCTCTGGACAGAGCTCATTCAGAAATTGGAGGCTTACTATATTCGGCAATTACACAGGAGGATCAGCCTGTTTTAGGGGCTGTAGATCTGTGCTGTCGCTCATCACTGCAAATTGCACCATTCCCCAAACAGCCAGGGTCTGAGCCACATCACCTTCCTGTTTGTGGCTTCCTGTATGTGGCTCTCATGGAAAGCTCTCGCACTAAGTGATAATACAGATGTGCTACGTGCGTTTCCCAGCTCTATGTCCTGCAGGGCAGACCGCTGTCCCTACTCAAAGAAAACTAGTTAATTCAGCTATTCCTGAAGGGCAGGCTGCGGGAGCCTGAATTCACGGTAAAGTCTGCCTCCTGGTGGATGCAATGAGCAATGCAGCACTCTGAAGCAATTCGGATTTTCTAAGGACTTAAAAATCAGAAAACTTTTCAGGCTGAAGAAAAGCATGGGAACAATTAATTCATTAAGCTGGCAAAAACTGAACATATACATGTCCTAGGTGCTTTATGAGCACAGAGAATAGACCAGGGAACAAAATAAAGTCTCCTGTTCTGGGAGTTTACATTTCCGTAGAGTAAAACAAACAAGATGAATATGTAAATTATAGAGTACACCAGAAATGTCTCAGTTCTACAAGAAAAGGAAGGACATCTGAGCAGGCTAACAAGGACTGGAGAACAGCAGGGTGGGTCCTGACAAGCTTTACCACTTTGGGAAAATTCTGCAGGCCACGACCGTGTCATCCAGAGCTTGTGTCCTTCTTCACGTGATGAAGGATGAAAGGTCTAAACGTACCTGAGAAGCCAAGAATCCTTCGTGTGGGTTGTGCAAATTGGAGATCGAGACACATGCTATGATGGACATTTGCCTGATGGGCGTGCTCATAGCAGCCCTGCTCTGCTGGGGGAGCCGTGACTGTGGCATGTCCTATTCCACTCATAGGGAACGGGGGCCAAAATCTAAGCCTTCAGAGAGAAGCTGCCCTGGCCTCTGACAGCGCTTGCTTTAGTTGGATGTCTCCTGCTGATGTCACAAGTGTGTGCCAAAAATAGATCGCTTCAGTGGGTTCAGACTAAAAGGCAGTGTTTTGCATAGTGGCTTCCTTCCCTGCCATCTTAATTAGCCCAGTGATCAAGTTACTGCAGCTAGTTGGTTAACTAGGTCACTCAAGGAGTCAAACTAAAACAAAAGAAACATGTCACCTAATTGCAGTTGAGGCTGTTAAAATTTCCACCTTCTTAAAGCTCTAAAACAAAGTGAGCTCTAAGGAAGGCAGCAGGCCATTGCTCATGTGTCCTCACGCTGCTGCAGCATGTAGTGTGCAGTTGGTATTACACGGGATTTCTGTTTACCCCGGTTCATTTCATTTCTATCCGTCTGCCTTGTGCACTAAGGTAAGAACAGATCTGAAGATCAGTTGGCCCTTGAAGAACTCTTCCACAAAATGCATGAGACAGGACTTACACGCTTTCCCACAACTGAAAGAGTGTGTGTGTGTGTGTGTGTGTGTGTGTGTGTGTATGTGTTGAAATCTAGAAAGCTTACAACAGAACTGCTTAGAAGTAGCATTTATTTTATTTTATTTTTTATGTATTTAATACAGGGTCTCACTACGCAGCTCAGACTCATAATGATCCCCCTGTTTTCAGCCTCCCCAGCCTGGGATTACAGACATCCAGCACCACACCTGAACTCGGTGGCCTGGGGGTTGGGACCAGCGCAGCACATGGTGCCAGGGATCAAACCCTGGTCCCTGCGCCTGCATAAGCAGGCGCTTAGTCCTCTGAGCTATCTCACTGGCCCAGTATCTATTTTAGAATCACACTTGGAAACACGCCAATAACTGGATTGTGGATTCCAGTTTAGGTCCTTTATATTTATTTCCAGTTATGTTTTTGCTGTTGTTGTATTGGAATAATTCGTAAATATCATCATGAAATGAAAATATTTAGCTTTAGTTTTAATACAAAAATATATGAAGAACACTTTAAATAGGTACAGTATGGTTATTTTCTCTGTAAAAATCATACAATCATCAGGTGTGGCGTACACCTGTAATCCCAGCACTTGGGAGGCTGAGGCAGGAGGATTGCTGCAAGTTCAAGACCATCCTGGGCTATAAAATGAGTTCAAGTTCAGCCTGGACTGCAGAGCAAGACTAATCAGCAAGACTAATCAGCAAGACTAATCAGCAAGACTAATCAGCAAGACTAACAAACAAAAAATGTGTAGAAGTGAAATAAGTCACCTACAGTGGGAGAAATTCATGGTTTACAAGCAGACATTACACACAGACTTCATGTACCACAGAATGTTTGATCTGGGTTTCCAGCGGAGCTGTTGTGTCATCGATTTGAGTTTTTCTTTCCTCTTTTTGGCATACTGTGGAATGCTTGCAAACACTTCTAAAATTCTCTTGTCGAGCCTGAACTTATATTGCATGGTGATAAAATGATGTATGCATCGTTTTACTAAAGTAAATGAATATAAATACACACACACACACACACACACACACACGAATGTCAGGAGTGAGGGGAGGAAGGAAGCGGTGGCATTTGCATTAAATAAATGGGGGACACCAGGTTATACTGAGCAGAGAATTAAAGGAAGTGGTGGGCTTAGCAATGCAAACACCCGAGCGCATGGCAGCCGAGCAGAAGGAACAGGCAGCACAAATGCCTGGTTTCTTTAAGAAACACCAAGGAAGCCAGTGTGGCTGGAGCAGAGCAGGGGGTACCACTGAAATCCAAAAGTTAAGGTGCTCACCCTGGGCGAGGCTTCCTAAGGCGCTGAAACTGGACTTCTGCTTGTGGTGACAGGACGAGCTGCTGTGGATTTTGAGCGTGAGCAGTGTGTGATGTTATTAAATTCCAAAGGATTTCTCACCCTGCTTTGCTGAGGACAGTGTGAAGCAGAGGGAAACACCAGCGATGGGCAGAGAGAGAAACTGCAGAAGGGCTGGCTACGGCTTGCACTGGGGTGGTGGCAGCCAAGACGGTGAAAAGTGAGGGACTCTGAGCTCATGGTGAGCATCCGAGGGGCTGGGGTTGAGGAGAGACAGACAGACAGGCAGACAGGCAGGCGACAAAGTAGGAAGCAGGAAGACCTTTGTGAATGGGTAAGCAAGTGATGAAGGGGAAGAGAAGAAGAGGGAAAGAGAATGGGAATAAAAAGAACTCAAGAAAAAGTCAAAACAAAACAAAAAGTCAAAACAAAATTTATTTCTTCTCTAAATTTCTTGTAGAATTCAGGAGTGAATCCATCAGGGCCTGAACTTTTCTTTATTAGTAGGATTTTAATAACATCTTCAATTTCATTGGTGATATTTTTAATACTTTTATTCTTCTGCTTTGATAATTCATATGTGTCTAGGAATCTGCCCATTTCTTCTGTGTTCTCCATTTTATTAGAGTACAGGTTCTTTTTTATTTTATGTAATCTTTATTAGTAATTATTAATACTATAGCAGAAAATAAAAAGGAAACGCAATACCTGAGGCTCTAGGAAGTAATATCAAAGGCACTAAGAGAACCTTTGGGTTGGGGTGTAACCCAGTGGTAGGTAAAGTGTTGGCCTAGCACTCCCAAGACCCTGGGCCCATGCTCAGCACTGAGAAAGCGGGGCTCAGTGCTTCTTCCCACCCTGAGAGTTCTGGAAGAAACCCAAAAAGGGCCCAAGAATCATCTGTTCATTCCTTTTCTTTTGTCTGGTCACTCAAAAAGACAATATTGTCTGCTACAGTTGTTGTTGCTTGTCACCTCACATTGTTTTTAGCTGTGTATTCACCATAGTCTACTTTTCCTTCCGCAACAACTGGTGACTGGATTCTTTACTTCCACCTGTCTCATGACAGGGTCCTGACCCACTTACCCAAGCAACTGCATGCGATTCAGTGATCTTTCAAGAACTAAACTGCTAGAAGAATATATGCAGTGTATTATTTGTTGAAAAATGAAAAAAAAAGATTAAATGAAAAAAAAAAAAAGAACTAAACTGCTGGCCACTTCAGACTCATGTCTTACAAACTGACCAAGCACCTGTAACACAGGTCTTCCGAAAAGCTCGGCTCCTGTTCCCTGTATTTTCTCAACATCTTGCACCCATTCTCACTGAAAGACAAAAACTGTACAAGGAAAATTGTTCTATTTAAAACTAGGCTCTCTTCAGGGCCAGCAAGATAGCTCAGTGGTCTAAAGTGCCTGCTTAGGCAAGCTCAGGCAAGTGCAGGGACCACGGTTCAATCCCCAGCACCGCAAGCTACACCAGCCCCACTCCTAGGGCAGGCTGAGCAGGCCAGAATCCAAGCGTAGTGCAACATGCCTGTGATCCCAGCACTGGGGAGGCTGAAAGCAGGAGAGTCACCCCTAGTCCAAGCTGTGTAGTGAGACCTTGCAACAACCAAATACATTTTTAAAAACTGCATTCTCTTTGAAGCTATGTAGCTTGGCAACCAATTCATGGATCTGTAGTTGCTTTCTTGACACCTGTAACCATGAGAGCATAACTGAACCTAACTGAGCCAGCTTTGTGGTCATTAATCTGGTCTTGTAACTGATGGTCATGGATCTAGCCCTGTAACTGATGCTCTCACCGTGCTAGCTAACCAGAACTGCCAGGCTGCTTTGCCTACCTACAAGCCCTGCTTATGCCTCATATAAAAATGCTGGCTCCTAGACACTGGCCTCCTGGCTTTGGTTGGAAGTCATTCCAGCCAGGGTCATTAGTGTAAAGTAAAGCTGTATGCTGCCTCCTGGCTTCCTTGGGTATCATTCCTTCCCCACACTCAGCTTTGCCGCAACATGCTTGGTTCCCTGACCACAAAGATCATGCTGACCACTGGTAGGGGCCTGGTGGCTGGAACAATGACCTCTGGGGGCCCATCAATGAGAAGGCATATGTTCCAGATTCTCATGGAGTCCCCTCAGAAGCTTGGACTAGAGGCCCCTGCTTGGTGCTGGTGGCCCTCATGAGACCCAGAAGAGGGGGAAAGGGTGAAGTTGGGTCAGGTCACTGGAAAAAGTAAGAGCCTTCAAACACAGCTGCTTTCCTGGAGCCCTTCCAGCCACCACCACCCCACCCCACCCCCCGCCTTCTAGGTGAGTCTCACCTCCAGCCCTAGGTGACACCGTGCAGGGCCTTGGTTCAAGTACTCTGCCAAAGGAGGGCCCTCAAATAAAGAAACTGGCTGGAAGTTGTTATGGTTTGTGTCTAGGTGTCCCCCAAAGCCTCATGCCCTCATGGGGCAGGCTTCTAGAGTTTTCAATTGACTCACGGTCCAGTGATGGGATTACGGTATGAGTGGCTACCCTCACCCTAACACAGGCAGTCTACATATGTTATAAGGGAGAGAAAGAGGCTCTCAGAAAAACAGATATGTAACTCAATAGAAATGACTAAAGATATGAACAAGAACATCACAAGAAGGGTATGAACAGCCAATAAAAATACACAATGCGTTTAAACTCACTACTACTTGAGGAACAATTAGAAGCAACTTTTCTCATAACTAAAAAAGTGGAAAATATTCAACAGTGAAGAGAGTACAGGAACACAAGTCCTCTGACAGATCCACGTTGCTCTGTGAAATGGCACAGCTCTGGTGGGCAGCTGGAAAGATCAGACACAGCTGGAAATGGTTACATTTACTCTATCGACTATCAAGGCATGTTAAAGTGATCATTTAAAAGCGAGGACATCAATGCTGTATCTGCAGGGCCGATGCGTACAGCACAAGCCGTGTACTGTCAGTGGCCTCGATCTAACCAGTTAGCTGGCAAGGCTGCCCAAGTGCTGCATTTCCAGAGCAGGACTCTGTACGGTAGGAAGATTGCGTCACCTGGAGGATGCAATCATTAATGCGTCCAGCGTACCGTTGAGAGCGCGTAAGAACGTGCCCAAGGTCGCACCCGGATGTAGCCCAGACGTAAGCCCAGGTGGTGAGACCCGAGGTGACCCGCTTAGGCCACCCAAGGACAAGGTGGCCGCATGCTCTGGAGAAAGTCTGCTCAGTGCATACTTATGATACCTGCATCCCTATTTCAAGCCTCTAGACGTGACCCACAAGTGTATGGAATACAGATGAGCAGTCTAAGCTAGTGGCGAAGAGTTCAGTCCCCAGAGTTCCATTTGGGGCATCTGACTCAACCCTCAGCTTATTTATCTGTAAAAAGGGGATGTCGATTGTAACCACCATAAAATCGTTAAAGGACTAAATGATTGATGTCTGAAGCGCTCAGTAGACAGCAGTAAGCGGCGTATTATTAGTAACTTCATTTATATCAAATGTGGGTGATGGGGGTGTCCAAGGTGTGATGTCTGTAAAGGTGCTTGCCGAAATAGTAACAGGCGCCTGTTAATCCGAAACCAGATTATGATTAAATAAATGTTAATTTATTAATATTTTGCCAGATATAAAGAGACTCGGGGTAGATGTGTGTACGCGCTTGGGTTCATCACTGAGCTTGCATCCCCGCCAACACTAAAAGCCGCTGTCTCTCTGTGTATCTACGTTGTTACACGGATAGGCACAGCTAAAAGAAAGCAGGAGTTATCACAACGCAAAACAACCAAAAGCGTTTTCACTCTGTAAATTAAGGTCAAAATAAAAATAAGATTTTCTCTTAGCCTCTGCTTATGTGACCCCCCCCACACACACACACCCCTTTATTTCTTCTCTTTTACTTTTTGTTTTGAGACTGGTCTCCCTAGGTTGCCACCCAGGCTGGAACTTGCGACCCTCCTGCCTGAGCCCCTCAGAAGATGCTTTGCAAGCGCTGTTCCCAGATGGATTTCACACGGAACTGCCGTGTAGCCGAAAGAGCGCCTCAAAATCTAGTTTCCCTTTCAATGACTCATCTAATTATCTGTAAACAAAACTCTCAGCGGGACCCGGAGAACCTTGGAATGTGAACAATTTGCAAGGCCTGGGCCTCTGGGTTCACCGGACGCTGCGCTGAGCGCGGCGGGTGGGCGGCAGCAGGACCAGCCTGGGGGTCGCCGCGGCGTTTCGGGACGAGCGTTTTGCGCCGTTCAGCAGAGCGCCGCCTCGCAGCTCCCCTGCTGGCCTCCCCAGCGCTGCCGCTTTCTGCACAGCTTTAAGGCTGGGCCTGAGAATAGAAATACAGGGGTGCGTCCCTGCGGAGAGCGTAGAGCCCGGCGGGTCCGTGCGGAGGTGCCCCTCGCTCCCGTGACAAGCAGCGTCTCGGACCTCGCAGCCCGCGCTGCTCTGCTGGTGGGCACACGATTTGGAGGCGCGCAAGAAGGAATACGGGTAGTTTTGCCTAAATGAACGAGATGCCTTCCAGGGCTCAGACCCCGCGGGCCCCGCACGCCTCACGGACGCTGCAGTCCCGCGCTTTCCACCCAGGGACCCGGGCGGATCCCGCAGCTAAGGTGACAGACAGCCGCGCCTGCGAGCTGCTCGACCCTGCAGGAAGACTATCCGGGCGCAGCGCCCTCCACAGACGCGCGTGGGGCCGGGGCTGCGCCCGCCCAGCTGTGCCCAGCTGTGCCCCACTCACCTTAGGTCCGGCCAGACGAGCTGCGTGTAACTGTAGCACCGGCCCAGGAGGATCTCAAACAGGTTGGGGGTGGTGCCCGTCCCATTCCACACCCGGAGTGCGGGTTTCTGTGCCCCCGACCACGTCAAGGTTGCAGCGACGGTCACCGCGCAGGCCACTAAGACCAGGAGGCCAACGCAGAGACAGACCCAGGACTTCCTGGAGAGCCCGCAGCAGCACCTGTCCCTGGACATGGGACTGAATTCGTAGTTGTTAGCCATGAAGCGGAAGGCGGGGTGGGTGGCCGGGGTCCAAGTCCAGGGAGGCTGAGGCAGCGGGAGGCTGAGCAGGAAGAGAGGAGAGTGCCCGCTGGCTGACACTGAACCGCCCTTTTCCTTTCAGTTGCTTTTTCTTTGCCTCGATTCTCACCCCCACCCCCCTGCTTCAAAGTTTCCGTGGGACTCTGGGCCAATAAGGCTTGAAAGAACTTAAGAAACACAGCCATCCTCCTGCGAGCCTCCCAGG